GGAAAGAGCAAGAGCTGATAAAGCAAATTAACACCAGTTTTACTGATTACTTGAAAGTCTGGCCGTTGTGGAGTGCTTTTTCTAGGAAGAGGGAATGAAGGAGCCCTGAGAATCTGTCAAACACACAGAACATAAGTACAAGGATGAAAACTTGTGAAATGGAAGACATGAAAAAACACAAGACAGTTACTGAAAGAACCAACTTTTCTGTTCAATGGCCTTGCTTTAAAAGCACAAGAAGGATTTGGTTTCGCATTTTCATCAGACTCTAAATTAAGCTTGGACCTGAAAATTCAGAACAAGTAATAAAAAGATGGAAGAAATCAGGCAATGCTCCTTGTTATGAGGATCCTAAATAAACATTATCAAAGAAAATGCCACAGAAGTTATTGATACCTGTGTCTTTCTGCCCTATAAGATGTTCTGAGTATAGGTTCTCTGGGAATTGTGGCTTTTGTTCTGCCAAATGTGGGGCTATCATCAACCTGTAACTCAATCCATAATTGTCTAAAAAATCAGTAGAGGAACAGGAAACAAAAATTATGACTATAATGCAGCACAAAAAATCTCAAATCCAAATCCAGTGGATATTCTTAAGCGATCATGAACCAAAATTAACAATTCAGTTTGAATCTATTGCTAACCTTTTTCGGTTCCTTGTGCTGAAAGAGTGCTTGATGCTTCAAACAAGCAACCTGCATAGAAAATTAAAGAAGTATTCTTATGAAACATCGAACACCGACAAGTTGTGTGCCCCAACCGCAATTCGAAAAGCGAGTAAAATAAGCAAATCAAAGCCAGAAAGATGCCGAAAAACGATGACATTTCTGCACCTTGCGCAGGTAACCAGCCTCGAGCTTTTGCCTTTTGGTAGCTTGGTTTCCAATAACAGAAGAGCCCTTCGAATTTTTCTCTTCATTTTCCACCGAGAACTTGGTAAACCTGCAGCAAATTAAAGCAAATAAAATGAAACAGAAAATAGAGGAAATACACCCGAACATAAATTAGAAGTACTCATGGCAACTTCAAAAACATTATTACTTAAGAAATAGCTAGAACCTTCTGATCAATCGAACGCAATGATTTTCCGGCCAGCAATTTTTCTTGGCCAGCTGACTTGCTGTAGGATTCATAAAAGAATTTTTCGATCGTGGTGACTTCACTGGGGACTTGGCTTCAGCTTTTGCAATATCTTGAACTATCTGATTATCAGACTCTAATCCTGCTTGGAAAAAAAAAATTATTCACAACCTACCAAATTATTAACCTTCATAAAAGAACAAAAAATATAATAATTAGCATGGATTTCAAATTATTTTCCTCTACCTATATAATTATTATGATCTGTTGAGATTTCTGCAGGTTCCAAGGAAGCAAAACTTGATCTCCGTTTAGCCTTTATAGCAAAAGCTAAAAAAATAAAATAAAAAATTCCACAGAAAAAAAAATTAAAAAACAATAATAATCAAATAAAATTTGACTAAAAATTATTGATTAATTAGGAAACAAATATAGGACAATTACTTACGTGAAGGAGGATAACTTGGTGCAATTTCAAACCAAAATTCAGATTCCTGAGCTTCCAATTCTGTTTCTTGCCTCGAAAAATCATAACATTTTGAAGCATCAAACTCGTAATCAATATCGAAATCATCACCATCACCATCAACGTCTCGGACCCAGATTGGTTCAACAGCAACGAATTCTTCTTCCGTTTCCATTTCTATATCCATATCTCTTCAGAATCACATTCCACGTACAGAAACAAGAGATCCCATCAAGGTTTCCACGTTCAAACTCCTGTTTTTCGGCATTAAAAGACAGAGCAACAGGACAGCATTGATGATGTTTATGGCTTAAAAAATTTCTTCCCTTCTTTCTGCTAAGTTTTTCAAGAATGACAGAAGGGAGGTTAATTTTTTTGTTCTTTTTTGGTAAACTCACGAGAAGGGTGTGAATGCAGTATGATCATCTCTCACTTTCTCTCTCTTTCCTTCATATTTTTTCCCGGAAAATGAGAGAGAAAGGTGTAATGGCATGTTCAAGATTTCATTTATGTATTGTTCTCTATTTGGTATGATCTCAAACTTTCCGGTAAAATGAACTAAGGAGAGAAAATGAGAGAGAGTTCAAGCAAAGGAAATTGTTTTTCAGAGTGAAGGAGATGATTTTATCGAAGTAAACGGCGATAATTATGTTGTGATCATGGAATGAGACATGTAAGGAAGGAGGTCAGGCGCATGACAGGCGAAGGAAGGCAACTAGGCCAAGACACAACTTAGAGAGGAGGAGGGATTCTAAATTTTGAACATGTGGCTCCAATCCTTGCATTATGACGATTTTACCCCCTCGTTGGTAAATATACCCGTATAAGTTATACGCTGGAGTCGTAAATGATAATAATATATTTATGTTCAAGTAGTATAAATTTTATAAATTCTTTTTTAAAATCTTAATTATGATATATAGATGATAAAATCTATTTAAACATCTAATTCTAGTATGGAAAATATCATGTGAGAAATTCATCTTAAATTTAAGAAATATTGAAAAAAAGGGGAGAATTAATATATATTCACCATAATATTAATTCAGTTTTATTGGGAAAATAGATGAGATTTTTATGAACAATCATTCATGCCTCATTAATTTATATCATATTATAATATATAGTGCATGGGATCGGAATTTTTTTTTTTTTTTAAACTAATCAATGAGTTTAATAATTTTTAGATGATATTTGATTATTATCTTGAAATAAAAAATATATATATAGAAGATATCTCTTTTCAGTAGGTACAAAAATTCATTTCAGAATTGAGATATATAATTTTGTATCTCTTTTTTTATTTATCTTTCTTTAAACTAACGTGTTTTTGTTTTTATTATTTAATCCCAAAACAATAATTAAACACAAACTTTAGGATTCAATAGATAGCATCGAAAGTTATAGAGCATCACCGGCTGGTTTTTTGTCTGATTAAGTTAAAAAATGGGGCCTGAGGTGTTGAAAACACATCTTCTCGTACATGATTTGTCAACACCAAATTGTGTCATTGCTGAATGACAACACACAGAAAAAAGCATTAATAATACAAACAAAGTAATTTGAAATTTAAATAAAGGAAGAATATATACAAAGCAAAGGAAGTGACTGTGGCGAGGCAGAAAGTGCAAGGTGTTGGTCTTTTTTCTTACAATTTTGGCCATGTTTTTGTCTGGGATTGAAGCTTCCCCCATAGGAGGACGCTAACTAGTACCTAGTGAGTTCAATGCTCCTTGTTCAGATTTATTTAACTCTATTCTTTAGAGAATCTTTTTCCATGGTAAAGTTGAAGAACATCTTGTTCTTTTGCACTTGTGAAGCTTGCTGCCAATAAAAATTGATGTGAACAGAGCAAATGTAATTCCTGGTAAGAATTCAAACTTTGATTGATTGTAAGGAGACTACAAGACATTTTGGTTGGCAAGATCATATCCCATCACAATTGCAAATCTACTTTCATCAAGGAAATTATATAAAACAATAGGAGAGGGTACTTTATACTATTTTAAGATATATTGTTTTTAGAAACAGAAGAGGATTCGGTTGATGTTGTTTAAGTGACAGTTTGAGAACATGGTTTTTTTTTTCAAAAATTTGAATTATATTTTACTTAAGTTTTTTTCATGGTTTTGATATTCCATGTTAAAAAAATTTTAAAAAATAAAAAGTATATAATATTGATACATTTTTAAACGAAAAAATAACATGAAAAATAATGATTACTATACTTTAAAACACCCTCTAATTTATTACTAAAACCCATCTTAGAGGAGATGATATAAAAAGGGTTTTGTTTTTTATTTTTTTGTGAAAAAAGTAAGCAAGAAACAAAATATTCAACAAACACAAGATAAGAAAATTCGAACGAACTCATTTCACCCATATAAAAAATTAAGACTCAAGACCATAATATCTGAAAATTGAATCAAATATCTCCAAGTCGCAATAAAAAAAAGAAGACAGAAAATTATAGAGAGAACATTTTACACCTCACCTATTTTGGTTCAAGAATTCAAAGATAATTAATATTGAAGGTTTTTAAGCTTGATCAGTGCCTAAACTACTTTAATAACCCAGGCTCGATTGCTCATGTGTAAAAGCAAACTCAAGACTCGGGCCGAGTCAAGTTTTAAATCAACGACTTATTTATTAAATTGATCTAATGCAATCAAATCGAAACATATCAAATAGATCGAGGGCGAACTCCTCTAGTCTATCTCCTTCATACTTCACTTCTGATATTAAAATGTTAGTCTTGGACTCTTCCATATAGCAGCATACCATCATTCCTTCTGTTTCAAACATGGTAAAGGTGAACTTAATGCTGGCAGCATAGCGGAGAAAAGGTGCTAGTTTTGAGTTGGAAAAGCAAGATTCAAAGTTCCCTTTCAGAGCTACAAGTGAGATATCATATGTGATAGAGCAATCATGCACATGAGCTTGTACTTCTGAAACAACATGATGTATTAATCATTCACAGGGCAAAGCAAGGAATCATTCTTCCTTTCCCTTGCCACTCTTTAATTATCTGTCACCAACTTACAGAAAGCTTAATGCCTATTTTGGATATATCGGTTATTGTTGTTAACAATAGTACGTAAGTGATGAACCATTATTTTATCTTTATATATCTTTATTAAAAAATAATAGATAAAAAAACATATATATATATATATATAAACATGATTTAGTAGGTATGTTAAGTTTGATCAAAGCAGATCTCATTTTATCATGAGTGGGCTTGACAGGGTACTGAGGATGCCGAGCCCAAGTACATCTCAGACTTATCTATAATTAGATTTAATAAAATATTAAATTTATATGTGCTAAGTAAATCACTAACCATATTCAAAAGATAATTAACTCAAAAAACCATTAATTCTATAGTTTTTTAAATAAAATTCTAAAAATTTAATTTTTCAATAAATAAATTTAATTAAAAAAATTTATACTGTTAGACAATAATATAAATCATATCCTGAGACCTTACCTAACAGCTTAAACTTTTAGGTGAGATGATTCTTTGACATGGTATCAGAGCCTTGATGACCAAACGGTCTCGAGTTTGAATCTCACCATCCTCATTTATTTGATAAAAAAATTAAGTACAAGGTAATGTAGGCCTGTGCAAGTTGGCTTTCACTTGAAAGAGTG